CCACTGTGAGTGCCTGCGTGTGGCCGGGAGAGCCCAGTGACAGAGCCCTTGTCCCCAGCATCTGCTGTGCTGCGTGATTGCAAGGGAGAGCCGTAAGGGTCCTGTGCCTTGGTTTCCTTGGCCGAAAAGTGGGCATGACAGTGCGGCGCTCAGATACCCGCAGTCATTTTCTGTGCGAGACAACTGGCTCAGATGTGTGAACCTTGATGTCAATTCAGATGGGTTTGTTGGGACACAGAGGTCGTGTCCAGCTGCTCAGTGGATCAGGGGGGGCTGAGTGGAGGGACCAGCTCCGGCTTGCGCCGCTCCTGCATCATTTTTCAGCAGGCATCAGAACCAGTTGCTATTGGAAGGAAATGCTATGGTTAGGTTTAGGGGAGACTTTGCCCAGGGGGAAAAGCTATTTATTAGTGAGAATATACTTTGTATCCTGAAGTATGAGTGTTTATTTTCTTTGTAAAGCCTTTGTTGTAGTATTTGGCTGTGTTTGTTTGTTATTTTCTGGCCGTTTTGTAATACAAGTGTGTGTTTGGTATATTTGTTTGGCTTTCTTGTGTGTGTTTTTCTTACATCTAGACAGTATTTTTACTCCACTGGCTTATGTATATATATAAATTCAACACAAGCAATTCTTTAGTTTAACGTGTTCTAAATCACTTCTGTTCAATGTGGGAAAACCAAGGAGTAATGATGCTGGGGCTGAGCAGCCCCAAAGGAAGAAAGAAGGTAAAACTGACTATGAACCAGATTGCAGATCAAATCAGTGTTTCCTATGGTAAGTGTCAGAGCTGACGCCAATTAACTTGATTTAAAAAAAAGAAACTTTGGCGTTTAATAATCCAGCATGTTACCAACACATGGCTCCAGGATTTATTAAAGCTTTTTTATTAGATGAATGCCCTTTTAATATTGTCATGCCTTGACTCCATTGCCCTCTGCCGGAGGATGTGAAATCTCTTTCACCATGTGGCATAGCCTTTCTGCTTGCAGCATGTCAAAATATATTTCTGCCAAGGAAAGTCTTTCCAAACTATGCAAACCACCTTTGTCTTAGAAATGTTTTAACCCCCAAATTGCTTACATTTGAGCTGGTGATTTGTGTCTCTTGCCTGATTTTTCAAAACTGATAAAAGAAAGTACACTTTCTGTGTGGAAAATAGAGTTTGATCTTTTTAATTAATTCATGTTTAAATTTGTTCCTCCTTCTTTTCCTTGTGGAGGAGGAGACAGCAGAAGCCTAAAACTGACAATCTGAACAAAGCCAGGTTTGAATGTTTTCAGTGGGAAAAGGAGAGTGATATTACGATGGGGCAGGGGTAGAGTGAATGCCTTGAAGAGGAGCATCATTTTCCCCAGACTAATTTTTGGCTAGCCTCACTTGGGCTGTAAACAGCAACAAAAAGCATCGTTCGGCTTGGGTAGCAAGGGATTTTTTGGATGCAGGGCAAACCCTCTGTCTTGGGCTGTGAAGCTGTGACTTTTCTCACCAGCAGTGTAAAATCGCAGGCAACTATGTATTTCCTAGCTGGTGTTGTTCCCAGGAGAAAATGGATTTCACCTTTTGCAGCTTTAACATGTGACAGTGAGGTGGGAGCGTGACTTTGTTACACTGAGAACTCGCGTCACCCTGCACTGAAGCCCTCAATTGCATTAACGTGTTGAGAGGGAACATGCTTGAAATACTTCATCTGAATCCAGATTTCATAGTGCTCACAGCAGCCCCAAGTGAATTCTTACAATGTCCTTCAGTCAGGCTTCTCAGGGTCATCAATAAAATCAGATGGCTTCAGGAATTAATGGTGAGCGAATGTCTTTGCTGTGGAGGGGAGTACACAGTACACCATGGGTGCCAACAGGCAGCTTGGGGTGCAGAAGCACCGCTCAGCAGCTGAGGCTCAGGCTGTGGTCTGTGGCTTCATGTTCTCCCCCAGCCGACCATCGCCATCTGTGATTCGGATCCATACTGGGGTCGTGTCCCTTTGGGCATGCGCAGCGCACTGTATAGGGAAGGAACATTAATTATAGCCACTGCACGCGGGGTATCTGATTCACATCTGCATCCCCCATTTGCCAATGGTGCAAAAGGAGCTCAGCGTTCTGGCAGCCCCAGGAGGACATGGAGGAAGCGTTCCTGTGGTGGAGAGCGCCGTCCCCAGGAGCTCTCAGCTGCCAGCCTGAGCAGAGCTGCAAAGCAAAGCCGACAGTTCTCTCTGCTGAGGCACGAGTGGGCTGTGTTGGCCCTTGGCAGCTGGAGCACCAAAGTGACAGATGATTGACCAGGGAGCTGCTAAATGCTCTGTAGCAAATTAAAAGGAATCGATGCTGAAGAGACCAATGCACAAATCATTGGAGCCTGTTCATTTTCCCCTGTGTGAGGGGATGGAAATCAGAGTAGCACCCCGGCCCAAAGGTGCCCGTTCTCTATCATACAAAGCCCAGGGTCAGCCTGTCCTGTGGGAGGATGCTGACAATTTGACCCTGGATTGGCAGGAGGCAGGGAAAAGGCATTTTTAAGGTAAGAGCACTGTATGGGGAGGAAGCTGCCCTTGACAAACGGGGCATTTGGTGCATGCCAGCCCACTGTGGCAGCTTGCCAAATGCTGTGAATTGACTCTGAGTGGCTCTTTTAGCATGTCATTTCCTCCCACCCCTTCTCCTGTGGCAGAGTCTTTCCTTGGTGCATTTGCAGCGGAGGCACTTTGCCAGGCAAGGTGTTCAGTCTTTTCAGAGCTGCCCCTTGCGGCTCTGCCATACAGGGATGCTCAAGGGACATGTTCTGGCTTTATTAGAGGATTCAAAGGATGCCGACACTCAGTGCTCTCTGTTCAGGCACTGACAGTGACTGCAGGGACAGCAAAGATGAGACCAGATGCACTTTCCTGAGGGCACTGCGTGTTTTGGCTGTGCTAGGCCAGTGGGATTTCTCTGGCTTTGAGAGCTGGACAGGGATGCAGCAGAAGGCTGATGTTTGCTGGAATAATTCCTCCTCTTAATCCCTGGTTTATTTTGTCTGGATGAGGCTGCTTTCTCCAGTTCTGGAAAAAAATAGGGACAAATCTGTGTTTCTGGGAGGTGCTTCCTTGAAAGTCTGCAGGGTGTCTGGCTGCACAGTGTATCCTTGGGCTGTGAAAGGTTTTTTCTGCTGATTCCCTAAACTTGTCTGCAGGAAACCCTGCTTTCCATGGAACCAGGTGTGTTTGGTGGTTGGTTTAGAGGTTTGTTGGACTTTCCTCTGGAGACCCTTCCAGAAGACTGGCTCCCTCTTATCACCCTCACTAACTGCAGCTTGCCGTGCTCCACCACAACCTCCTTCCATACCGCTGGGTCCTTGCATTTCCTAAATGCCGTTTGCCAGCACGTCTGCTGTTTGTGTCCTCTGCCTAGTGCCAGAGGAGGCTGGATGCACATGAGGAGGATGGGTCTCCAGCTCTGTAGATACTGGCACCGTGATCTCTGAACAGATTTTTGTATGGGAGGTGGCAGGTCTCTCCCTGGTGGGAGACCTCTGGGTGGGGAACTGGCTGTTCGCTAGAGTTGGCTGGAAATTTTTTTGTGAGTTGGGGTTTTGTATGTGTGGAAAAAGAGTGGATTCACTGAATCATTTATTGAGGAACATTTACTTGTCTGTTTTCAGGACAACAGCCAACATGTGTGTTCCCTACCCCTTGTTTTCCCTGGTAAATTAATACTTCTGTGATTGAAGTGCTAATTTGGAAGAACTACATTCTGTCTAGCATCTTGAATATTGCTTGCTTGCACTTTAAAAGGACAACCTGTCAGTTCTTGGAAATATTTCACTTCAAGTCTTCCACTGGGCTCAGTGCCGGAGGCTGGCTGTACAGCCCAGCGGTCAAGGCACGGCCATGGGAAATTCAGATCAATCCAAATTGGGCTAATGAGAGATTTGAACCTGGATCTCTCCATGACTGCCCCAGGCAACCAAGAAAAAGCAAGCTCCAAGGGTCTCAGGAAAAACATTTGCAAAGTAGAGTCGTATCTACAGCCCAGGCTTGAGGAGCTCCCCTCTCATTTAAGGGGGGGATCTGATAGTTTCCAGGGCGCTGCAGTGACAGTGATGACCAGCCAAACGGCGGCTGTGCCGTGAGAGATCAGTGCTTTTCCCCAGAGCAGACTGCTCCCTGCCTTTGACTGTGGTATTCTCTGGGCTCTGCCTTGTCTGCAATGCAGCCCTTTTAGCAGCGGGCTAATGCGTTCCCCCACATGGGAACAGTGGTACTAAACTGCTACCCATGTTTGCAAACTGTCCACCGTGCGTGTCCCTGCTAAGTGATGTACTTTGCTTGCCAAGATACTTGGATAAAATACAGTCTGCTTAAATCTTGTATGTGCTTGTATTGAATCAAACTAAGCCATTGTGGCAGTTTAATATACTTCAGTCGCAACACCTCCGAGATGGAAGAAATGAACCTGAACAGGCCATTGGAAGCCTCAGTTAAAACTGGCTGAGTCAAAGACGCCAGAGGGATGTTCTGAGCTGAGGGGATTAGAATGACAGGCAAAGCACATGGTCACTGGCTTCGATGGAGCTGTATTCCTAAGAGCATAGGTGCAGTCACCCCGAGTGCTCTGCCTGGCAGAGGGAGAGGGCCTGGTGGGTCGGAGGACTTGCTGATGTGTCAGGCAAGTAATGTGGTCATTGTGGTCTTTATGGTCTCTGCTTCCTCCTCAGGGCTTGGGCCTAGCATGGGGTGAGGCTTGGCTGGTGTGTGGATGAAGGGTCCTTTTCTGCTGGGGGTGGTTCAGACACTGCAGCACTGAGCAATTTTTGCTTGGCTGAAGCAAGGGACTTGCTTGACAAGTGGATGCAAAGGAAAGCGAGACTGTGGACACCCAGGAGGCATCTCTCCCTGGAGGGGTGGGACACATTTGTGTTGCTCACTGCCCCAGTTTGATTTGCTCTTCTTGAGGAGGATTTGTGAACTCTATGGAGCAGCTCCCTAGTACTTTCTCTAGCTATTCACCTTTGCTCTGTGTTGCAGGTTTCCTTCCAAATGAGTCCCTGAGGTTCCTGCTGGCAGCTCTGGCAGTGTGCTGTAGAAGTGCCCTCCTGGTCTCAGTAGCCAAGGCCCCTCCAAACCTGCTTCTGCAATGGGTGGGTTGTAAGCACTGGTAAGACCTATGAGTCGTGTCACCTTCGCTGCTCTCTCCCTCTCTCGCGTTCTCTCTCTGTCCTTGTTCCTTCTTGTCCATTTATTTCTGTTTTCCATGTGCTCTGCTGTTCTGTCTCTGGGGTTTTCACTGTCAGGTAATGAGGAGCTGTGGGTCCAGTCAGTCTTGGAGATGCCGAAGAGACGAGACATCCTGGCTATCGTGCTGATAGTTCTGCCCTGGACACTACTAATCACCGTCTGGCACCAGAGCACCATTGCTCCACTGCTTGCAGTGCACAAGGGTGAGAGAAATCAAACCAGACCATGCCAAGTCTGTGCATCCCTCCCACGTCCTCATCTCCTCTCTCATTTCATTTCTCCATGGCAGCCATGTTCATCTCAGCTCCCAGTCCATGCTCATGCAGAAGCCTCCCCACTTCTGCTGTAAGAACAGCCCAGTGCTCATAGGGGTTCTTCAGAGACATCAAACTCTAAGCCATGGGGTATGCTTACTGCACTTGGAGAGCTCTTTATGGCCTAAATCTGGAGTACTGAAGGAAGATGCTTTTCTTTGTTCCCTGATGATCCGTAAGAGAGAAGTTCCTTCCTGTTGGCCTTTGCAGCATTCTGCACGCAAGTTAGTCCAGTAGGAAAGCCGCAAAAAAGAGAGCAGAGGAAACAAAGCTGCCACTTGAGACAGCTGCTCTGGGAGACATGAGGCAAAGAGCATTTTTAAGTGTCCTCCTGAAAGGAGCAAACTGGTGCTTTTGCACTTGAAGGAGAAGGCTAGAGCCAGCATCTTACCTGATTGTTTGGTGGAGTTACAATGTTATGAGAAAATCAGCTTCCATACTACCTGTCACACAAAGCGTTAAGTAGAGCCCTGGCCCAAATCAGATGAATGCAGCAAGTTCTGGGGGATCCTCTCTGGCCAGAAGGGTCCTAGTTTTTATCCTGTTCTTGGCACAGCAGCAATATCAAGGGGCTGTGAGAGCTCGTGGGGGCTGGAAGAAGCCACGCTGCCTACAGCAGTCTTCATTCTTGGTTCTGCCCTTCTGCTGAGCACCAGGGCAGGCAGGTCAGCTTGAGGAGGCTTGTGTGGGGGGAAGAAGGATAGCCTGTTTTTCCTCTTTGCTCCCTTTCTCTGGGAGATTCTCTCCCTTTTTCATTTTAGTGTTTCCACCCATCCTCCCCAATTGATCATCCCTTTGCTGAACAGTCTGATATGCAGTTCGAATTGTCAAGAAGTTCAGTCTGTCCTGAGCGGCTTTACCTTTCTCCCTGGAGGACTGACAGCAACCCATGAGGCCTTGGGCAGTTCATAAGGGGAAAATGACTGTGATCCGCTCTGAAAGGTGGATGATGTTTCAGAGGATGAGGGAACTACTGCGCTTTAAAACAGGACTTGAAAGACTAATAAGAATATGCTGTTTGTATACCAGTTTGATTCAATGCCCTAAAAACTGGGAGCTGGTTTTTGTGAATGACCATGGACACTGAAGCACAGAGACTGCTCTGCTCTGACTCAGTCCTGAACTTACTGATGACCTTGCTAAGACACTTCCTCTGTCTCTGCTTCTCTGAGCCCCCAGTGGAAAATGAGTAGTGATAGAGACCAGCCTGAAAGCTCTTGGGAGAAATTGGTTTGTTCCTGTAATGCATTTCTGAGATCCTTTTGTAGCAGGTGCTGGAAAAGAGACATGCATCTATACATGTGCAAACACAGAACAGCAGTGCTTACACATGCCAGGGTTTACGGCTGAGGGTTTGACCTGCAGGAGTTTGCAAACTGTCTTAAGCACTGTCCTGGCTAATTACATATTTGTCTGTGTCCAATGCATTTTGCAGATTTATTTTTGAATTGATTCCAGTGTTCTCTGCTTTCAGAGAGCTCTGCTATGTGATGCTGATGTGCTTTGCCTTATATAGGGCCTGATACCAACATGTGCAGGACACCTTGTCCCTGTCCCCCTCCCCCAGATATACACCCGCCCTCTGTCAGTGCCATGGAGTACAAGGCCTTCGTTCAGTTTGGGGTTGGTATCAAAGTCTATGCTGCTGGAAGAGTAACATGCTATGAAAAAAACATAGGTAGTACCCTGCTGGGTCAGATCTAATGTCTGTCTGTTCCTGTTCTTTCTCATCTGAAGTTTCTGGTAGTAGCTGGTTTTGCAAAATGTATGGCTCAAAGTATTATGTACCCACTAGAGAGCAGCTGGCTTGTATCCTGAATGGAGGTGCCCCTTCATCTCTGCCAGTTCCTAACTGTAGACTGTGGTATTCCTGCT